TGGAGATGGGAGACTCCAACCCCGGCACAGCAGTGGCCCTGATCTCAGTCAGGAGGGTGGGGGGAAGTTGCTGTGCTGTAGCCAGAGGATCCATTGGTGAGATGGGGTCACACACTCGCCCCTTCTAACATATTGGACCCCCTACTCTCTCCTTCCTCCCCCACACAACGCAGGACGGCCTGTCCCAGCGCATGGATGACTGTCTGAAGGTGGATCCAGGCGCAATGGTGAAGCAGTTGGTGGAGCAGCGCAGGTCACTGCTGGGGCGGTGCCGGGAGGAGATGAAGGAGCCGGCGGAGACCCTGCTGACGGCGCTGGAGGAAGAGCTGACTCGGGAGGCCAAGACCTTCCTGGAGACCTACAGAAGGCGCTACCAGTGTCACGCCAACCAGAGAGCCATGGACAGAGCCCGCACAGACCACACTGCCTTTCTGAAGGCGAAGGTGAATCTGGGCAGGGAGGGCTGTGCCTCCCACCAGGGGAACCTCAGGGAACCATCCCGGGCAGCCCCCCGGGCTATGGGCTTTGGGGATGAGATGGGAGTTCACATTTCCAGCTCCCAGGGTGGCCGAAGAGAAGAGAGACTCCAGTCCCAACACTGGGGGGTCCCAACTCAGTTTTGGGGGCTCTGGGCAGCACTTGGCATGATGGCTGCCCCGATCTCAGTCCAGAGAACTGTGCCTCACCCGGCATCATGGGGGCCCAATCTCAGTCATGGGGTGAGGGGTGTGCAGCACCGGGCACAACTGGGGCCCCAGTGTCACTTGGGGGATTGGTCTGTGTAGCAGCTGGCACGATGGGGGGTCCAATTTGAGTTGTGGGATCCGTACATTGCATGGCACGATGGGAGCCCCGAACTCAGTTGGGGGGTGTTTGTACAATGAGGGCCCGGATCGTGGTCAGGGTCTATGCAGCACTTGCCACATCTAATACTCTTGGCTGTCTCCTCTCGCTGCTACTGCAGGACACCAAGAACCCAATTAAATGCCTGATGGTGAAGCCGAGCAAGATGGCAAAACTGCTCGCAGAGCAGCGTGGGCAGTTGCTGGAGCGGTGCCGGACGGACATGCTGCCAAAGAAAGAGGCCCTGGGGATGGAGCTGGAGGTGGAGCTGACGCAGAAGAAAGAGGCCCGGCTGATGGAGCTGGAGGCGGAGCTGAAGCAGAAGGCCGAGACCTTCCTGGAGATCTACAGGAAGCGCTTCACGACATTTGCCATTGCGGCAGGCGCTGCTGTGGGGACGGTGGTCCTGGCACCAGTGGGTGGAGCTGCTGCTGCGGGAATTGCCACTGCGGTCGGCGTGGCTGAGGCGGTGGCCATTGGTGTTGGGACAGGTGCCGTGACCGGGATGTGCGTAGGTGGGGGCGTGGGAGGGGGAGTTGGTGGGAACATCGCCCGGCAGGATATGAACCGGGCCGAGGCCACTGCCAGCCAAGGGGAGGAGGGGGACGGCACTGAGGATCTGTCTGATACGGCCCCCCTGATCTGAACAGCGCCCCTCCCCCAATCTAGGGATGATGAATGGGGTGACAGGGCAGTAGCGTGGCCCAGCCATGTCAGCCACAAACCACTCCAGAGCGGGGGAGTCGTCGCCCACACATTCTAAGACGGGACATTGGTCCAACCCGCTCTTAAAAACCTCCAATCACTGTGTGACACACAGGCCTATCGGTCCCAGCTGGCAGAGGGTTCAGTGCCCTGTGTCAGCAACTCCTAACAGGCCTGACAAACTCGCTGCACCTAACACACCGCTGCCATAGTATTTAGCCATAAAGAGTGTCTTGTAATGCATCGAATGCAACCCAGGAGCTCATCTGTGTGAAATGTCGGCCCTGTCGTGAGGTGAGGAGCTACGCATATATGTACATATGGAGAACACATTTTCAAGTCTGAATAAAGGCAAACCTTTGGGGGATAGAAAGAGAAGGTAAACGAATGCTCTTGTATCCTTCACCCATGAAGCAAAGGGGCAGTGATTTGGCAAGAGGGAGCCCAGCCATGTTAGCCAGAGATGCAAGGAGCTTGGTTTAGATGGGGTAACCTACTTTAGCTTGTTCCATTTGGACTCTAGGAAGCATGTTACACTTTTGCTGTCTATGTGCCACCCTTCTGTCAGCAGCATCGGCAGCTACCAGGGCCAGCTCGAGCCGCTCCTCTCTCTCCCCCCAGTCGTCTGGGAACCTGTAACCACGCTGGGCGCCTTTGCCTGGCAAGTCTGTACCCACTCGCCAGCGCAGAGGTTTGAAGGAATGAACTTTGTTGGTGGCGGAAAGAAAACAGAAAGTCTGAGTTGAACTGGGGACTTATATTTACAGTTTAACGTCTTCTGCTGCTGTGTACCTCAGGGTGTATCAGTCACAGTCCCAAACAAAGGGGACCCTGAACGCAGTTTGTTCTGTCCCCCACCCTCAGCTCATGGCTCCTTGTCATAAATATAAAGGGAAGGGTAACAACCTTCATGTATGCAGTAACATTAAATCCCTCAAGGCCAGAGGTACAGAATCAATTACCTGTAAGGGGTTAATCAGTTCCATTAACCTAGTTGGCACCTGACCAGAAGGACCAATGGGAAAAGAAGATACTTTCAAATCTGGGTGGGGGAAGGTTTGTTTGGGCTTGTTTTGTGTGTTCTCTCTTGGGACAAAGAGAGAGACCAAGCACGTAATCCAGCTACTACTGAAATGATACATCTAAAATTACAGGAATTGTAAGTAATAGCAAGGAAATGCATTTTTTGTTTTAGCTTATGAATTTTCCATATGCAAGAGGGAGGTTTATTCTTGTTTTGTAACTTTGAAGTTGAGTCTAGAGGGGAATCCTCTGTGTTTTAAATCTTTTCATTACCCTGTAAAATTACCGTTCATCCTGATTTTACAGAGGTGCTTCTTTTACGTTTTTCTTTATAATAAAGTTCTTCTTTTAAGAACCTGATTGGTTTTTAGTGTCCTAAAAACCCAAGGGTCTGGTCTGTGCTCACTTTGTTAACCTATTGGTTGGTATATTATTCTCAAGCCTCCCCAGGAAACGGGGGGGGGAAGATGCTTGGGGGGAAATTTGAGGGGAGTTAGGGCTCCAAGTGGCCCCTCCCTGAATGTTTGTTTAAATCACTTGGTGGTGGCAGCAATACTGTCCACGGACAAGGAATTTGTGCCTTCGGGAAGTTTTTAACCTAAGGTGGTAGAATATAAACTTAGGGGGTCTTTCATGTGGGTCCCCACATCTGTACCCCAGAGTTCAGAGTCGGGAGGGAACCCTGACACTCCCCAACTTCCTCCTCAGAGTTTGAGTTTCTGGGAGTTCAGGAAAATCAGGGTCTCTGGCCATGAGCAGCTCTCGGGCTCTATCACCTGCCCAGCAATTGCGGTTCCAGCTCTTAGCTCAACTCTTCGAGATACAAGGGGGTCAGGGGTTTTAGGTACCAGCCATGTCTCTACCACCCAAAGAGTTATTCCTGCTACGATGTGAAGCCTTTCCATCTTTGCCTTCCAGCTCCATCCAGGGCTGTCACGCTGACTTGGCCAACAACAATGTCATCAGAGTGCCCCCACACCTGGTTCTATACCGTGTGGGTTGCCCGCAGGGGATGCTCAAAAATATGGGCCACAAGTACTAACCTTAATCCAAGTTTACCCCAATGTCCCCAAACTAGCTGCAGCTATTATGCAAATGATGTATGGACATGCTCAGACGACTTCCTTTGCTTGCCAGTAGGTTCCATCACAGTGACTGATCAGTTACCTCTCCCCCCTGCATCTCTCTCAGGGGTCAGATCACAGGGCTCACACGTGTAACCGTTCATTTTCCATGACCTTTATACATTATTTGCCTGAACCTCTGAATCTCTGCTCTGTTCAGAAACATAGGTCTGGCTGACACTACAGACTTAGGGTGACACAAGGAAGCTCAAGTCGACCTCACTCTGGAAGGTCTACCCTTAGATTTCGCTTCCGCCAGTGTAAATCCCCCCCACCCTCCACGCTGTGGAAACAATAACTCCGCCTCCGCGAGTGGCGTAGAGTTAAGGGCGATGTAGTTCGGTCAACAGTGTCAGTGTAGATACTTCAGTGCTTACGTGAACTGTTCCTGGCTTTCAGGAGACTTCCCACAATGCCCCGCACTGACAGTACAACCGATACAAATGATGCTGGTGAGGACACACACTCTTGACACAAGGAGCAGAGTGTAGCCACGCACAAGTGATGCAATTACTGCGGTGGCTGGATGCTGACGTAAGTTGGTCGACTTAATTTGGTCGTGTAGCCATGGCCATAGTCCTGCTTTCACTACAGCTGTAGCTCCGTGCTGTGCTATGAAGCCCAATGTGGATCCTGTGTTGAAATTG